GCCGGATCGACGGTCACAAAATGCCGAACTGCCTGCACAAATGCCGGACTACCTACGCAAACGCCCTTTTTAATGTAGAAGTTAAAAAGGGGAGGTAATTTTGTCTTTATTTCTATTTTTTTTAGGTCGGGGGGTATTAGTTAGAAAATATGGTTTTTGAGAAAAAGTAGGGAAAGTTTAGGGTGGAGGTAGAGTATCTAGAAAGTAAATTTTAGAGGGTTTTCAACTGTTTTCCCTAATCTTTAACATGGAGATTATTAATCTGTAAAAATAAATAAATTTTAAAAACTAGAAATGATATTTTTTAGAGAAAATATTTGAACCATTGATTTTACTTTTTATTTAGAGAATTATTATTTATGGGACCCGATTTTGGTGGACGGTGTAGATCTCCAAGCCAGCATAGTACCAGGAGTGGGCTTGGGCGCACCAAACAATTTTCCTTAAGGTTTTCCTTTGGTAAATAAATAGAAAAAAAAAAAAAAAAAAGAAGGTTGGACAGCTTATTTGTTACTTTGGGTACAAACTTCAAGGGTTTGAACCGTTGGCTTCACCAAACTTAAAAGACTCCAAAAGCTTTGTCAAAGAAATAAATCATCCAAGAAACAGGATTTTGCCTGAGGGAGCAATTGTACAATTTGCTTATGCGGGAATACGTCGCATGGGTAATACTTAGGCTAAAATATAGGGCCAAAAGGGGAATCCACATGCATAATTGCACGGGGGGCCCACCAATAGGTCCTACATTGAAGTTCTTTTCAGTATGTATACAACATTCAAAATGGGTCACTTTCACATTTACTGATCCTTAGCACGATAACATGAATGTCTTAGCACCTTAGCCTTTGACAAATAAGAAGACAAAACATCCAAAACTGACTTGGGAAAAATTTCCATCCATTCATAGTGTTGTGAGGCTGATTCTAAGAGATTTAGATGAGAAAAAAAAAACGTTTTGAATGTGTAATTTTGGAATAAATAATCTAAAATCTACTAAGGATAAATGTAACAAGTTGCCTAGTGTTCCTAAGAAGACAAAACCTACTTTTAAGACCCAAAAAGTGTAACAATAAATCCTATACTTGTTATCTAATATTGAATTCAAGGGATCAAATTCAGTTGGACACCAAAAAAAATGGTAGTTTTCTCTTTTCTATTGACAAAGCTTAACATCGCAAAGATCCAACTTTGCTTCGTTTGGAGATTGAAGAAGCTACAAATGCTACCATAGAAGAAACTCAGTGCTACCATATTGTACATATGTAGAAATAGGGCTTTCCAAGAATAACTTCTTCAAAGAGGTTCTTTTCATCACAATTCTCTTATGAGAAAAAAGAATAAATGCTCATGTAGTTTCACCACGTTGTGATTTTCATTCCCACTGACACCATCTCATTAATTTATTAAAAAATTAACTCTTAAACTATTTGAAAAAATAGATAGATGCCTATCGTCTCCACCTAACTACCCAAAAATAAACAAACTCCTTTTAGGAGTTAAAAAGAATAAATACTCATGCAGAAGCATAATATACATTTATTCCCTTAGATAAAATCCTAGCCAAAAGTATTAATGACCTCAAATGTTGGGGTTGTAACCTCATCAATCCAAAAACCAAACTCAAGAAAAAATGAAGATACATTGGATGGTCTGATCTAGGTGTGTCAGAACTGAAAATTTATTAATTTAATTTATTTAAAAATGATCACCAAGTAGATTCCAAAATCTTCCTGAGCAAGTCTTTTACGTGAGGGAATGAATGACAGTCTCCTAATATTATAGCCATGGTCCCCCACACTTTTGTATCTTACCACTTCCAAATTTGTACTAATGGATTCAATTTATTAACTTGTCATGCTAATTGAGCTTCAAATCAAGTCTTAACTATCTTCTGAATGCGGATTTGAATTCTCCATCATCATTTCATAAGCTTCTGAGAATCATCCTATAGAATCACCTGTAAATTAGTTTGTAACTAGGATTTAAAACCTAGCGAATTGGATCGGATTATGTGGGTGGGCGATATGGGTCCCTCCCACCCCAATATACCTATTTGTTATTTATTTTTACCGATTTTCTTCAAGTTCAATCAAACTATAATATGATGGAAAAAGTTTATATAAAGTGTCAACCTTATACTATTGAAGTAAGATGCACCGCAAATATCCGTCAAAAAAAGTTGTTATGATGCAAAAAAAACCCTTAAATTGATCATCTCAACATTAACATATGTAGATATGAAAAAAAAAAAGATTTAAGTCATGAAAATAGTGCATCTTCTAGCGCATTATCTGGACTGTCCATTTTCAAAAATATTAAGCGTTTATAGAGCTGCTCAATCCGCATCATTTTCAAAACGTTTAAATTTTATAATTGAAAGTAACAATAGATATTTGTACCGTCATAAAGCTTTATGGCAACACTGGCTTGTAGACAAGCATCACAGGACCCTCATATCATATCCCTTCTATAGAGATTGATGGAGCATCATACTGCTACTTTCTAGTAGCTAAGCATATAATAAAGGTGTAAATAGGTGAGCACTCTCTTAATTTTAGAGAGAACGAGAGCAAGTAGACCTGCAATTTTAGCACACAAAGAGAGGCTAGACCGCCAATTTGAGTTGATAGAAAAAGCCCCAACTTGGTAATGAGAGACCTACAATTATAGTGGAAGAGGGGTAGAGAGAGTACTTGAACTCCAATAAGCATGAAATTTATATTTTATCTAAAAAATGAATTATGAAATCTTGAACACGAAGATCTAATGTGATCTCCAATCTAAATCGGGATCGGTAGGTGACCCAACCGGTTCTTTACAAAAAACCTAAATCAGTCTGATTTAGAAGGCCTTGCCATGTTCTTTCTGTAAGGGAAATAAGCGATCCATATCAACCAAATCATGAGGTTCTATCTAACTTCAACTTCAAATTATTTCAAAAACAATATAAATAGTATTTTAATATTCGGGCGGGGGAATCATTGGATTGATATGTAAAAACTCATTCCAATATCTACCCATCCAAGAAAAAACACAATCTTCATTTTGTCGAATCCAATGGGCATCAATTTTCCCTCTTTGTTTTTTGAGTTAGCCTAGGTTGAGAAGGTTACATGGATGGGAGTCCTACAAAAACTCCTAGAAAGGTAGGCATGTTTAATTTTACTCTAGACAGTGAAGGTAATATTTGGCTTAGTCAGAGAGAGAGAGAGAGAGAGAGACAGGACACCAATATACTAACACAGTGACAGAGAGGACACCAATATACTAACACAGTGACAGAGAGGACACCAATTTATTAAGAGAGAGAGAGAGAGGAAGAGAATCTAGACACCAATTTTAAGGATAGTATGGGTTGTCAGTTTGCCAGAACGTACTGCAACCCCAGACACACAGATTCACACCAAACATGCCCCTTTCACTTCCCTTATCAAATATTTGGCATTACATACTTTTTTTGGGATTGCCCTTTATTCGGATTGCCCTTTGACAGAGATTTGGACCATTTACGTCTCCATTCAAACCCATATTTGCCTCCATTCTTAACTTGGCAAGAGCTTTACATATTATATATGAAGAAATTCAGAGGTTAGAGTGACAAAAACTACGATATTATATGAAGAAATTCAGAGGTTAGAGTGACAAAAACTACAAGTTCAATTAAGAGAAGGAAAAAGTTTATATAAGATTGAGGCTTTAAACAATTAAATTAAGGCACACCTCAAAAATTCACTAGAAGAGGTTGTTTCGATGTCGAAAAACCTTCAAATCGATCATCCGAACTACGAGATGTATAGAAATAAACGAAATGAATTTTATATATGAGAAACAACGCATCTTGTAATGTATATTTGAGCCGTTGATTTTCAATAATTTAAAGTATTCATAGATATGTTCGATCAACTTCAAATTTTTTAAGCTTTAAATTTTATAATTAAAAATAAAAATAAAATAAATTTTCACACCATCGCAAAGATTTTTGCTACACTGTTTAGAGGCACGCGTTACTTTGATTGTTTAGGGCCTCAGCCTTATATAAACCACACCCACAAAAGAAATTTACGGAAAATAGAAAAATATAACAATAAAGAAGAACCCAACTTGGGAAAATGGAGATGCACTCATTCTTTAAAACCAAGACCTCATATTTTATTAATTTGATGGAAATAAAGGGATGATTTTATAGAATATGAAAGAGCAAGAAAATCCCAATTTTATAAGGAAAACCCTAATCCCAATAATTTGATCTTTATTTTAAAGAAAAGGCTTTTGATCTTTATTCTAAAGAAATAAAGCTATGGCAACCTTACTAGAAATGTGAATGCAAAGTGGCTTTCCTTATCACCTCAAAATTCTCAGACCAGATGCCTAAAAGAAGCAAGAAAAACCCTAATTTATATGGAACCCCTAATCCCAAGAAACCCCAATAATTTGTTCTTTATTCTAAAGAAATAACACCATGGGAACATACGAGAAAGAGAGCAAAGTGGCTTTCCTGTTTGATTGTTTATTGCCGAGCTCTGATAGGGAAGAATATTATCTTGAGAAAATCATTCATATCTTCATCCTTTAAATCAAATCTTTATACATAATAGATAAACACATATACCCAACACAAAAAACACAGAGGAAACAAAAAGAAGCAAAGAAAGATTGACACATTATATTGAGAAAATCATTCATACCTTCATTCTTTAAATCAAATCTTTATACATCAGAAATAAAACAGGGACACCTAAGAATAACAACACACACAAGAAACAAAAAGAAAGCAAGGAAAATATTGATACCTATTCTATTCTAAGCTTCTAACCTACTTTAACATAAAGCAGACAACAAAATCCAAGCTATGGGTTTCTTCCTGAACTCTGATGCTTGTTTTTTTCCAGTTTCAGAAAGGTATTTGAGATCAGATAAATCATCATTTTGGATCGACCCAACTTCGTTTTTCTCCAATTGATATATTAAAGCTCCTAATTGGTTTCGATCTCGAGTTTTCTTCATGTAGTTATGGATGATATGCAACTTCCAGAGCGGGGAAGTGAAGAGCGTCGAAGCTCGCCTTTGATTCTGGGGCTATTTGGCGTCGATCCCAAACTTTTTTTTTCATACAAGCTTCTTCTGAGGAGTTGTTTCATGGCTTCGATCAAATGCTCGGTGGAATTGATCGGAGAGGAGGAACTGAACTTTTTGCAGAAGCTCATATGGGCAGCAATGGCTTCCTCAGTACCCATTAACCTATTCGACCTGAAAACCTCATCCTTTACAGCTTCAGAGCAGAGGCCACAGATCCACCTTCCATTGAATCTCTCTCTAACCATGGCTATATATGCAGGGGTGCACTCCTCTTTGAGGCCACAGCAATCACAGCCTGCGAATTCAAGCTCAGGTTGATGGCTTGAGCTCTTTGAATTGGGTAACGGAGGAGATTCAGAGGTTGTAGAGGCCAATGGGTCGGTTATTACAGTGGTCGCCATTAATCAAGGATAAAAGTGAGGGGAAAATTAACTGCAAATTAAAGGAGAAAACAATGTTTTTAGAGCGCAAGGCGATAGCCATTAAGAGAGGATGGATCAAGAAGCTTAAATTTCAAAAAGCTTTTCCCTTTTCTCCAATAAGACTCTCCTTTCTTTGAAAAAACTGCAATTAAAGCATAAAAAAAGCTTGAAATTCATAGATGAACGGAGTTTCAACGAAATTTACCGGGATCCAACTCAATGTTTAAACAGAGGGCCTGCTCTTTCTCATGATACTCGATTAATTTTTAACCGATTCAGAAAAATTCCAGTTTTCCTCCATTCAAATCGATTTCTCAAACGATTTTCAGAGCTCTAATACGCCTTGTCTCCACTCTTTTTGATCGCTATCTCTCCTTCTCCCAAACAATTGCAGCGTCCTCCTCCTCAGAATCGCTAGAGAAAAGCAAGAACTCAAAGATCAGAGACATATCCAAAAGCTTTATCACAAAGATCCCTCTCGTTTCCAATGGAATCCTTCTTCGCTTTCTTCCAAAGAAAAAGGCAATCACTCGCAAAAACTACAGGCATTTGCATAGGCTTTTACCAGTGAAGTACCGTACTTTCCTCAGAATCCTGGCTCAAAAGTAAGGAATCGGCCATTAAAACTTTGTCAGAGATGAAATCTCTCTTATTTTGCCTCGAAAACCGCCGATTGAGAGAAAAATGGTGCTCCGATAGACAGATCTTTTTGGAGTTCTGAAACCTTGAAAAACCAGAGGCTTCAGGGCTCGGCTTTTGATGGAGAAATTGAGAACGATTGAGCTCAGTTCCTTCAACTCTGCTTTTCACCTTTGCCGAAGAAAAAGGCAGAAGAAAACTCCGAAAATCTTTTCACCTCTGGCTTCTAGACACTCTCTCTCTCTTTCTCTCTCTTCAATTCTCTCTCAAGAACTCAGCATTCGAACGAGAACATTATTTCCTCTCTCTCTCTTCTGTTAAATAGAGAATGTATGCTCAATAAAACCCTAATTTCGCCCGCATTTTGTAACGTCCGCGAGGCTGTGTTAGAGAGAGAAAGTTAGATAGAGGTGGATGCTTGAGTGAGCTAAGAGAGAGAATAGAGTTAGAGAAATTTATGGAGAGAGAATAGAGAGAGGCTTTAGAGAGAGAAATATATTTTTAAGAGAGAAGGTTAGCGAGAGCAAGAAATTTTAGGAAATCAATGAGAGTTTAGACTTTAGAGAGAGAATATAAAGTTTGGACAACGAGAATGGAGCAGTGTTCGCATACTCGGCCGGTCCAACTCAAAACCGGCCGGTCAAATCAGAACCATGCACTCAAGCACTAGCCTCGATATGGTTTTGGCCGGTTTGGTCGTCTAGCTGGATCAATGTTCACAAAATCGAACCGGAACGGTTAACCTGTCATGCGGCTTGGAGCGGTTCGAATAGGAACCGGACTAACCGCAGCGGTTAACCGGACTAACCGGTTAAGTGGATTTTTTTAAAAAAAAATAGGTCAAAACCCCCAAAAAAAATAAAAAATAAAAATAGAAAAACTTAGATTAAGTAATACATTGTCATATTACATA